ATATATATATATATATATAGTTCGCACACTGAAGGGAAAGCAATTCTTTTCAGCATGGGCATGACATTGAAGCTCCGTTTGGTCAAGTAGGTGTCAATCGTAAGGTCAGCAATTTCAGTCTGGTTGAAAATTAGGTCTTATAGTCTTTCATGATCATGGCTTTGCTTAAATACACTTGTGAAACACCTTTGCAACTGTTTGATTTTTGTTATAGCAGCCCCCTCCCATCCCCCTGAGGGAAATGTACCTGTCGCCACTGGTTTAAATGCAAACTGGATTTGGAAAACAAGGAAGATTAGAAACATCTACCAGTTAATTTGCAACAGCAGTCCCTGCGTAACAATGTGTTTTGGACTAAATATATTAATGGATTGGATCGTCTGGACTTTAACAATTCAATTGCTTGTTGGTTGCTGGTCAAAAAAAAGAGGCAAGGATTATACCTGCGGTTGTGACTATCTCAAAATGGTTTGCATCAATCAAATCACAAGACTTTCGTGTACCAACTTAAACATAGCAGTTGTGTATTTAACAGGCTATCAATAAAGGTTTTAACAGACTGATTAAGATCAATCTGTATGAGTGACTCATCTTTTGGATCTTCTTTCCACAAGCTTATGATCCAAACTACTTTAACATGTGCTGCCATGTTTTAATAAATCATACAGACACTTACACTTCCTCACACCAGGTTTCAGCCACTGCTCTCCACAGTGTTCCACCCTGGAGGAAGAAACAGTTAGAATGAACCTCATAAAACTTCACTCAGATCCACATAAAAACTAAACAGCTGCATTTTTAAAACACCTTTCATACACACACTCAATTAACTGTACACAAAATACTCTAAAACTCAATTCAAATGAGGAAAAAATCCCCAAAAAAACCTTTAATGGGAAAACATAATGGGAGAAAAGTCACAATGAGTAACAGGACAGGACAAGTACTGATTTTTTCAGTGGTAACAGAAGCTGTGGTGGGGTTTTTAGGAGCAGTTTACATGAAGTTTTATAAACTACATTTGGGAATAAAGACCACACCTCAAACACATCCCATTCCCGCTAGTATTTAAGCACACCTTATCCATTCTCTTCCCCTCTGAATTATTTTTCACATCCTTCCCTCCCACCCACTCTCTTGTTTGAATGCAGGAACCACTGGGGGCTCTATCCGCAGCAGAGCACATGTAGAGACGGTTCCCCTACACAGAGTCTCAACTCCCCTGGTTAACGACATTCCAGGACACATGAAGAGACAGCTCACCTGCTCTGAGTCTTCTGCTTACCTGCCACCAGCTGACTCCGATACATCGTTCTCATCCATCCATCCATCCCTCACCTCAACCCTCTATCCCTCACTTTTCCATTCCCTCATCCATCACTCTTATCTCTTCATTTCCTTACCCTCGACTCTCATCCCCACATCCCTCGACCCCTTACTCTTCTTCCTCATCTCTTCATCCCTCCATCGGGATCCCTACATTCTGCCATATAATCTCGGCTCTTCTCCATCTGTATCATACAATAAAATATCCTAAATCCATATATATATGATGCGTGGTTTTTGTTAGTGAATCAATGCTTGTCAATCAAAGAAATATATTGATATAAGAGTTGTTATTTCTAGTCAACTTATAACAAGCAGTGTATCGGCAAACATCTCAGGATTCATACTGGAGCAGAAGATTACTGATGTATGTAAAACAATTTGCCCTATTGTGCAGAAGCTGGTTAAACACCAAGGGCGTAGAATTTTGCAGGGATCTAGCAACTGCTTAAATGTCCTTAGAAATGTTTTCACAACAATTAAAACACTGTTGTCCATCAGTGTCTGGTCAATGTATCTGGTACACAAACTCAGCTCTCATTCCCTAATACAAGTCCAATAAGTTATATATAATAAGTCGACTGATCCATACAGCATCAACATGAAAATTGTACTTTTCATGCAGAAAAGCTGATAAAAACTTGTAGCGTGAGTTAAGACAATGTACAAGACTACATAAAAAAAACGTCCTCAAATGTCATAAAAAAAAGGCCTTAATCATCTGCTGATGAAGTTTAAGTATGATGAAGTATGTAATGTATCTAAAACACTGGAAAAGCTACTAAATGGACCTTGAGCTAAGCTTGTTTTGTCAACTGTTGTTTCCAAGGTCAAACTATGGTATTATGGTTTACAAATACTTGACTATTTATCAAAAATAATGTGTGTTATCAGCATTAGTGAGTGATAAACACCAGATCCTGGTCTGAAACTGGTCAGAAGGTCAGTCTAAGTGGGGGCAGCAACTCTCAGGTTATAAGTCTTCACTGTTCAGGGCTGATGGTTCAGACTGAACCGACCATGTGAGACAGAGAAACAGTGTGTGCTTTTGTTATTTGTTAGTACCTGAGAGTGTCTAGTCTCCAAAGTGGATCCTTGTGTCCAGCAGATAGCAGCTTTTCTACTGAGTCTCCTGGATGATTGTAGCTCAGGTCCAACTCTCTCAGATGGGAGGGGTTGGATCTCAAAGCTGAGACCAGAGAAGTACAGCCCTCCTCTGTGATCAGACAGCCTGACAGCCTGGAGAGACACACAAACTAATATTACATTATTATTATTATTATATCCATCCATAGTCAACCAATTACCCTCGGTACAGGTTCGCGGGGGGATGGAGCCAATCGCAGCTGACACCCTGGACAGGTTGCCAATCCATCACAGGGCCACACACAGACAAACAACCAGTCACAATCATGCACTAGTCTGCATGTCTTTGGATGGAGCACCCGGAGAGTACCCACGCAGACGCGGGGAGAACATGCAAACTCCACACAGAAAAGCCAGGGCAACCGGGGTTTGAACCCGCAATCCTTCTTGCTGCTGATGTGAGGCGATAGCGCCAACCACTGCACCAGCATGTTTCCATCTATTAGCAAAACCTTTTTGACTACATCCATTTCACACTAAAGTAACATTTCAATCAATGTTTCCATCAACCCACATCAGCAGACCCAGCATCAGAAGCAGAAAACATCACCACCTCCATGCCTGAGTTGCCATTTTCTTCAGTGGTTTATCACTCCTTAACATTTAAGAACATTTCACCTGACAAATCGTCCGCCTCACAACAAACAGCAGATTTCAGCATTAGCACGTTCCAGCAAGGCACCCCAACAACCAGCCTTTCCTTCAGCCGTCTGCCCACTCCCACTAACCGCCAACTGGACCACACCAGACTGTGACAGACTGTGACAGCATTATCTTAAAAGTCTAAGGGAAGGTACTTTAGTGCTGTTCTTTGTTGGTGTTTCAAAGAAGAATGTAGTTCTAAAAAAACTGATGCTAGTAGCATATATGCTAAACTCTTTAGCATCATTGTTTAGAGTGAAAAGTCACTTCTCACACTTGTCATCACACAAGTCTAGCATTGGGGCAAACCCTTAGCTAATGTTGTAGCTGCCAGTACTTCGTCATAGGATTGGTGATTGGTGCAAATGAATAATTTTACAGACACAATCACATAGCTTGAAGCCTGGCAAGAGGTATTCTTGTGATCTTGCAAGTTCCAGGGTAAGCAATTTGACCTAGCTGGAGCTTCTGGCACCGTGATGCCAGCACTCCCAGCAACTACAACAGCTGGCTTAAGTTGGGGTAATAGACACTGGGATGCCCACCCCCCCTCCCGCAGCCCACCTCCCCTCCCGCAGCCCACCTCCAGCAACCATGGAAGCTTGCTCTAGTCAGGGATTCTGGCATCGGCATTTCAGGATCTTTACCATTCCAGCCTTACAAGCCCTAGCAGTGCTCATCAACTGGAACCATTGGCACAGCTTTCCTCCACATCTGTTTCCATTTTTAACTCCAGTCAACAAGCAATCATCAAATTCACCGCCTCCTTATCTCATCCTTCCAATCGTCATCCTAACTCTTTCATCTCCCGTCCTTCAGCTCCTAATAGTCTACACAAACAGATAGTAGATGGTATTAGGTCTTGCTCTTATTACTCATTCTAGAAGTTTATAAGCCAGGCGCCCTATGCAGATACCTGTTCTACACCGCTTCCTCCATATTCTGCCATGATGCAAAGCAACACATAAATTAAGCCATAAAACCCCTAATCATCGACTGCCAGAACTCTATTGTCAACACTCAGCTCGGAAAAGTTTCCATCACTTTCACTACCAGTGCAACTGAACCGTATGGTTGTTTGATCTCATAAACATGTCCTGTTTTGTCAAAACATTTATTGATGACGTAAATCATCAATGTTCACCATAGCTTTTTCTCAAAACTTCTAACTAGCAGGCCTGGCCCGGCCTCTAACCCAACTAACCCATCTCCTCTTCTTCGCTCTCGTATTCATGTCCCCCCACATATTTCTCTATCTTGTTTCCTTGTTCCTTATTGAGGAGGTCCATTGCGCCTGTTGCTACAGCGGTTTTCACACCGAAGCTTCCCCACAATTCAGAAGTGAATCAAAGCTGTACAGCAAGTCCAAGCCTCGCGCACAATCTTTTACCCAACATCCTACAGATGTTGGGTATTCTTTTAATAGACAATTAACAGCAAGCAAGATTTCAAGGGTTATCTGTTAAAGAGAAGCTGAATCCTGACCTGAGATTTTCCAGTGTACAGTATGGCTTCTCCAGACCAGCAGAGAGCAGCTTCACTCCTGAATCTTGCAGGTCGTTGTTACTCAGGTCCAGCTGTCTCAGACTAGAGGACTGGGAGCTGAGAACTGAGGATAGAGCTTTGCAGCTTCTTTCTGACAGATTACAGCCACTCAGCCTGAATGACAGTTAGTGATAAATACAAACACCAATACTGTTTCTGTCATCTACAACGTACAACACATCACATTTGTAGGGTTGTCCTTACTGAGTTGATGAGTAGCACAAACATACGTATACTACTGAGATCTATCGGACATTAATGGGATACCGATTACTTACACAAATTAATTTGAGCCTTGAATTATTTTTTAATAATTATAGCATTCATCTGTGCAGGCATAATAAAACTAAAACAATGAAACATTTTCAATTAAGAAACAAATAAATTTGTTACTAAATCCTGTGACTACCCATTGACTAAAACCTGTATTATTTAAGAACAACCCTACATGTGTGACAGTCTCTGCAGTTACATGTGCACTTACAGAGCTTTGTTGGAGGCTTTGACCACTGGCAGCAGCCTCAGAAGAGCCTCCTCTGAAGCAGAGTATTTCTTCAGGTCAAACACGTCCAGATCTTTTTCTGATGACAGTAAGATGAAGCCCAGAGCTGACCACTGAGCAGGAGACAGTTTATCTGTGGAGAGACTTCCTGAACTCAGGAACTGTTGGATCTGCTCTACTAGAGAACGTGCCTTAAGTTCATTCAGACAGTGGAAGAGATTGATGTTTCTCTCTGGAGACAGATTCTTGCTTATCTTCTCTTTGATGTACTCAACTGTTTCCTGATTGGTCTGTGAGATATTTCCTGTGTGTGTCAGCAGGCCTCGTAGGAGAGTCTGATTGGTCTTCAGAGAAAGACCCAGGAGGAAGCGGAGGAACAAGTCCAGGTGTCCATTTGGACTCTGTAAGGCCTTGTCCACCGCATTTTGGTAGAGAAGTGTTGGTTTAGGTTTGTCGCTTAAGAGTTTAGACCACATACCAGGTTGTTCTTCTGCCAGCAGATTAACACCAGATTTGAAGAAGGTCAGGTGGACATGAAGAGCAGCCAGAAACTCCTGAACGCTCAGATGGATGAAGCAGAACATCTTGTCCTGGTACAACTCGCTCTCCTCTCTAAAGATCTGTGTGAACACTCCTGAGTACACTGAGGCTGCTCTGATATCTATGCCACACTCTGTCAGGTCTGATTCATAGAAGATCGGGTTTCCTTTCTGCAGCTGCTCAAAAGCCAGTTTTCCCAGAGACTCAATCATATTTTTGCTCTTTTTATTCCAGTGTGGATCTGTCTCAGCTCCTCCATCATACTTGATGTTCTTCAGTTTAGACTGCACTACCAGGAAGTAGATGTACATCTCAGTCAGGGTCTTGGGCAGCTCTCCTCTCTCTCTGGTCTTCAACACCTCCTCCAGAACTGTAGCAAATGATCCAGCAGAAGACTGGGATGTGGCACATGATGTGGAGACTTCGTGATGTCTTGATGTGGG